ACGAGTCAGTTTCTATCCTGAAGGTAGAAAGGAAGATTCTTTTCTATTTTATTTTATATTTAAAGATAGTTTAAGTACGTTATTGCAATGATGAAGAAGGAAATTTAATTTACCATTCTATCTCGTGTAAATCGATTCGTGGCACTGCGTACAGATTGTCAGAATTGCAAGTGAATCGCTCATTCGGCGCATACAAAGACAATTTGGTAGTTTCACTGTCGGAATTAGTTTGATTCCCACCTGAAACTGCCAAGGCCGTTGTGATTGCGGCACTGGAACAAAACTTCCCGCGTTCCGGCATCCCCTGTTACGATCCAATTTAATACCATTTCCGTACGTTATAAAACTTCATGGTTTTATATATACACTTTTAACAATGTCATCGATAACATTTATTGTAATTGAATGTGCCATACAGATATAAGTTGTTCATACCTCGATGGTTCGTGGCTGATGACGGTGTTACCGCATGGATTAGATGCAGGCTCATCCAGGGCCAATAACCATCGTTGCATATTTTTTTTAAATAATCAACCGCAGGCTAATAGCCGCGCGTTTTCATTTTTGAATCCCTTTATTCTCATTAACATTTCAGCATCTCCTGATACAATCACTGGAAAATATAATACAAATATTAATATTAATATGATTGAATGGTAAACATAAAGGCAAGACGAATCTAATAAATTTTATAAGATAGATCTCTGTACTCTTGTTCTATTAAACTATTTCATCGATAGCTGTTTTACTGTACGGAAAAAGACTTTAGTTTTTTACTTGCAAGTCAATTGAATTAACATCTTAATTTAAATTCTCATTGGAATTCTAACTCTACAGTCGAATTTATTAGATAAGAATCGTGTTGAATAGACACTTATTGGACGTACTATTTAGTATTAATGCAGTGGATGGTTCAAGTTTCAAGGTCGCTTTCACATTCGTCATGTTCACGTAAGAAATTGGACAACATGAAACCAGTATTACGTTATTTAGGACATTCTTTACAAGCAGATGAAAATACAAGATATTTTTGCAATAATAATTATTTACTAAATAAAATATTAGAGACGAATTTTGCCATTGCTTAATTAATATTTTTTATAATCTTTACAAAATAATCGACTTCTCTTTTTCTAAGTCAAATCGTTTCGATTAATATTGAAACGTAACAATTACATAGATTATATCAAATGAAGTATCCGATGCAAGAGAACTGGTTCAATTGATATATCAAAAATACTTCTATACATACACAGATAAACATGGTACTCCAATTACCTAGTGCCATGGGTCAATGTAAGTACACACCGCAGCGCCCAGCACTCCGCATTCCGCTTCCAGTCGGCCACTTTCACGTCACTATAGCTCACTACCCGATGTTCGGGTATTACACGGTGTAGCCTGGAATGTCGATTGACGTTACAAAAGTCCTGTGCTTGAAGAAGAATGAAACTTCACTCAAAAGATGGTATTACACAGATTATGTAATCAAGAAACGTTTTTATTAAATCTGCAAATAATAATTCAATAAATATCAATTAGTTTCTAAATTGAAAAAAAAAGAAGAAATAAAATAGAACAAGAAAGTATCGTTCGTCAAATTATTTGAATGAATTTGAATTCGAATGAATACTTAATTGTAAATTTATTTTTCTCACATTGTTGAAAATTTATGCAAGACGCAAATTTCAATTTAAACGACTGTTATATAAAATATATATATACGAGTAACTATGTGTAATTTATTCCTCAAAAAAAAAAAAAAAAAAAACAAATGTGTAATCTTGTAGGGAACTCGTATCTTAT